AAACCAAAGCTGGAAACCTATAAAGGAAAAGAAAGGGATAAAGAAAACAGGAAGGGAGGGAGGGAGGGAGGAAAAAAGAAGGAAGGGAGGAAAAGGAAAGGAAGGAAGGAAGGGAGGAAAAAAGGGAGGGAGGGAGGGAGGAAAAAAGAAAGAAAGGGAGGGAGGGAGGAAAAAAGGAAGGAAGGAGGGAAGGAAAAAAGGAAGGAAGGAGGGAAGGAAAAAAGGAAGGAAGGAGGGAAGGAAAAAAGGAAGGAAGGAGGGAAGGAAAAAAGGAAGGAAGGAGGGAAGGAAAAAAGGAAGGAAGGAGGGAAGGAAAAAAGGAAGGAAGGAGGGAAGGAAAAAAGGAAGGAAGGAGGGAAGGAAAAAAGGAAGGAAGGAGGGAAGGAAAAAGGAAGGAAGGAAAAGGGAAGGAAAGAAGGAAAAAAGGAAGGAAGGAGGAAAGGAAAAAAGGAAGGAAGGAGGAAAGGAAAAAAGGAAGGAAGGAAGGAAAGAAGGAAGGAAAATAACTGTTGTAAATGCAATGAAACTCTTCATCAAACTCATTATTCTAGAGGGCTATCAAGACACTGTTAGGAGTAAGAGCCCCAGCTGTGTGCTAAATGAGTCAGGGCTACCTACATCTGTCCAATCTCCATGCTCATTGTGCTTGGTGTAAGGCAAGTTGCCATAAATGACTGAAACATAAAGTTATGTCAAACAGACCTGATACAAGTTCTAGGTTTGTTATCTGTGGGTTCCTTGACACTGGAAGAACCACCTACTCTGAAGTTTGGTTCCTTCACTACTAAAGTCAGGACCATAAAAGTACCTGTGGCATGGGATTGCCACAAGGAGCAAATGAGAAACTCCATAAGGTACACAGCATAGTACCCAGCATGCAGAGGGTCCTAGATGACCATTTTGCTATGGTGATTTTAAGATACCAACATATTTAACTAGAACAGATAGTTCATCTATTGAAACTTACAAAAGGCATTTATTTACTTTTATGGTGTAGATAGTTGAAATAGTGTGATCCGATTTTCTTTTTTAAGTATTTTAACACCAGTGTTTAAAACAGTGGTCCCAGACTGTTAACTGCTAGAAGAAAGGTACCTCATAAATTCTGTAGGACCAGATTTTTGCCAAAGAGTAGAGGCTGTGTTCAAATACACCACCAGCCCAAAATGAAATGAAAAACAAAGCTAGATCACACGATGCTCTGTCAGTGCTGAGTCTATTCTTGTCACCTGCTTGGTTTTATCTGTGTTTAGAGTCAGAGTAGATGGTTTTAGATTTCTGTATTCACTTTATACATGATTGGCTTGTCTACAATTTTAATATAGAAAGAATGGTGCTAAAGAGTCTCTTTCTTTTCAGAAATTCTATAGACTTGGTTGGGAAGAGGCTCTGAAGAAAGGCTATGATCTCCCTGTTGATGCGATTTCTGTACAGCTGGCCAAGACGTCAAGGGACATCGCTAGTGACGTAGGTCCTGGTGTGGGCAGAAGGATGTGCTTTCAGATGGGTGGGCCATGGAATTTGGTTACTATAAAAATGCACTTCTGTTCCTTCACCTCTTTCTACCCTGTTTACCCAGAATTGTCTTTTTCCCCTCTTTCCTCAAATGTCAAAGGGAGCCTTCCTAATCACCTAGTGGGCCAGAGTCCCTCTAAGACCCATTGCAATAAGGTGCTATCCAGATAGTACAAAAGACATTGTGGTTTTTTCGTGCTATGCCTAAAATTAATATTCCTGTTTTCTATTTGTCCAACTTGCACTTGCATAATTATAGTAAGTTAGCTCTAGGATTAAAAATCCCAAAAGGCTCACTTTATATTCCATTGGCTAGCCAGAGATCTGGTTCATAGAAAAATGCCATTTGTTCTCCAAAAGGCAAACTCCTCATATGACTGGAAAAGTTGAAACTTTTGGTGAGCACACTACATGTGGTCCCCATATTCATTAAATTTGGTATAAAATGTAGTTTGTTTGCATATAAATAAATATTTCATTTTGCCAATCCCCAAAACTAACTAGAAGAAATTCAAATTGTCTTGGGTGGGCAAGCTAGCTCTGGGTAAAGAAGCTTGCGGGCAAGCCTGACAGGCTGAGCTTGCTCCCTGGAGCCCACATGATTGAAGGAGAGAACTGACTCCCACAAATTGTCTTCTGACCTCCACATACACACTGTGGCATGTGTGTACATATGCATGTACACATGCACACAAGTGAATAAATAAATGTAGTAAAATTAATTTAGGGTGGCTGGTTTATGGTAACAATGACTGCTGCTGAACCCAACAACCTAAGTTGAGTCCTAGGGATCCACATGATAGAAGGAATAAAATGACTACTGCAAATTAATCTCTGACCTCCACAAGCACACTGTGGCAGAAGCATCTCTCTCTCTCTCTCTCTCTCTCTCTCTCTCTCTCTCTCTCTCTCTCAGTTACAAAATCTTCTAAGGGTTCTGGTTTTAGAGAGTGTGAATTACCAAGATTTCAAAATTTTCACACGCAACCTTTTAAAACCTTTAAAATAATGATTTACAAGCCAGGTATATTGGTCCATGCCTTTAATCCCAGCACTCAGATCTCTGAGAGGCCAACCTGGTCTACAATAGTGAGTTTCAGGAAAGCCAGAGCTACATAGGGAGACCCTGTCTCAAAAACAAAGAAGCAACAACAACAACAAATGCAAACCCAACAGCAAAGATGGTTTGCTTCCACACATAGGTTGAGCTAGAAGGGAAAAGAGAGGGGCTAAACACAGAATCTGAGAAGGAATTCAAAGAATACAAGGGGGAGTTCTATCTAATTCAAATGTGACACTCCAAAACTACCAGGAAATAATTTGGACTCTGGCTTTCAGATCAAGACTTCAATTAATCAAACTGAAATAATGATGAACCTACATGATAAAGCAAACTCATTTTCATTTAGTGACATATGCTAATGAGAACCTAGCAATTGAAGGGACATCAACAATTTCTGAGCAACCCAGTGGCCAATAGCTTCTCATTACTTTTCTCGAAAACCCACTTGAAACTTCACAGTTAAATTAGCTACATGTGAACTTTCCCACCACAGGAGAAATTGTACTCTCCCTAGGCATCCAGTGGTTTTTATATCTGTAGCATTTCATAAAGTTAGAGGCAAGTTTTAAGTATGTAATTTAATAAGTTAAACAAATAGAATTTAGAGTTGGAAGGTAGAATGGTTATTCCATTCAAGCTCCTTCCAGCATCCTGCTTTCTCTTCATGCATTGCCTGGAGAGAGGATGAAGTGCTTAGATCCCTGGATACTCGCATGCAGAGGACTTCCAGGGTCCTTTAGGGCCAGTGTTTTCCCCATTGGCTGTGCTATGTTATTATCAGACTTCTTACTGTTTGTGTGAGATATTTTATCAATCAGCACCAAGTCTATGTTCCGGAATAGCACAAAGTACCTTCTTTTTCTACTTAACATTTCTTTAAACATCCCAGTTTCCTTATCCTCCTTTGCTTTTAGTTTTGTAACTATATTGACCTTCTACTAGCAGTTCATTCTATTTACAATTTGTTTTTGCTTTATCATCTTAAAATAGTCTGTAGTGTGTCAAATTAGTGTTTTGTTAATACAGAAGCTTATGCCAGCTTAAATGAGCCTCTGCTATGTGCTTATCTGCTCCTTACAGAGTGATGGCTCTACTTTTTTATAAGCAGTGTTGCCAGACTGTCCATATTAGGGACTGTTGAGTTGGGTAGGTTTTATATAACTGCAATCAGAACACCTCACAGAGACAAGAAAGGAAAGACATTGTATTTTGATTCACAGTTTCCACCATGGCAAAGGCATGGTGAGCAGCTTGGCTTACATCACTGCAAACCAGAAGATGGGAGAGCTGACACTCATCCAGCGTTCTCCTTTTCCTTTTTCATTTGGTCCAGGCCCCTGGTCCAAGGCACTCTGTGATGTCTATGTGCAGCATGGGTCTTTGCCCTTCTGGAAATGCCCTTACCCAGAGCTGTACCTTCAATCTTTCAGATGATTCTATATCCGATCAAGTTGACAATGCAGATTAACCACCTCAAGGGTGGAGTCAACTTAAAGTCCAGAGTAGTTTAAATGTATGTATTCTAACGGAGTGGAGCCCATGTCTGTGAGGCCCATTATGCGTTACTGCCGTTGCACTTATTAGCAATGTATTAATGGAATTTCCCCAACTAATAAAAGTATTGGATTTTACTTTCATTATCTTTAATTTGTATAGTTTGTTTTCACCTATGTGACAAAATGTTCAGCTGTTATGTAATTTGTTTTTCTAACTAAAATACCAAAATATTCCTATCTGTGCCTCTAAGACATAGATTCAAATCTAGACAAGCTCTATGACATAATCATGTGTAAATTCTCTAATCTACATTTTAGCTTGTTCACCAGATCATACATCTTCGTAATTTTTCTGTCATCCAGCCCTACTTTTCTCATAAACATGTGACAAGGATTTTGCTAAATGTTATCCTAAATTCAGCCATGCAATGTCTGGCACATATTTCTGCCTTTAGAGGGAATTAATTTCTCATGAGAATCTCTCTTGATATTCAACTGCATTTGTTTATTTATTTATTTATTTATTTGGATAGCTCTAATTAAATGGGACCTTACTTAAGGAAGAAAGTGTTTCCTGTTAGGTTAGCTCAGAAATCATTCTTTCACATCTCTTGGGGCTGGGGGCAGGGTTATAACAACAAAACCAGTTGAGTTTAATTTAGCTTTTATTTATGTTATTAAAAAGACTGTTTCCTGATTTCAGTTTAAATATAAACAAGGCTACCGGAAACAACTGGGACACCATATTGGATTCCTGAGTGTGCAAGATGACCCAAAGCTTGTGCTGTCTATGAATGTGGCCAAGATGCAGAGTGAAAGAGAATACAAGAAAGACTTTGAGAAGTGGAAAACCAAATACACCAGCCCTGTGGACATGCTGGGTGTGGTGCTGGCCAAGAAGTGCCAAGCCTTGGTCAGTGATGTGGACTACAGGAACTACCTACACCAGTGGACATGCCTGCCTGACCAGAATGATGTCATCCAAGCTAAAAAAGTCTATGAGCTACAAAGTGAGGTCGGTGTCTATCACATTTGGTAACTTTAAATTACTCCACATATTAATAGCCATTTATATGGGAAGAAAAAACAGATGGGAAAGAGGAATTATCATTGACCATCTAAAACACACTTGTGTAATGTATAGCCTCTCCTAGTCATGGTGGAGATGAAGATGGGATTTTGTTTTGTCCTTTCCTAGAACATGTATAAGTCTGACCTTGAGTGGCTGAGAGGCATAGGATGGAGTCCCCTGGGTTCTTTGGAAGCAGAAAAGAACAAGCGGGCTTCAGAAATCATCAGTGAGAAGAAATACCGACAACCTCCAGACAGAAATAAGTTCACCAGCATCCCTGACGCCATGGACATAGTTCTGGCAAAAACAAATGCCAAAAACAGGAGTGATGTGAGTATTTCTTTAGAAACTGACAGACTAGGTTATAGTGCTTGCTACCTGGAAGTTAGGAGCATTTGCTTAGTAAATGATAGAACAGCAAATCCTTGTCTCTTTTAGTACAGCATAATGTTCTATGTTGGTTTGATCTACTTGAATTGTTAACCACTTTACACTAAATAATATCAATACAGTTTATTGTCATCTTAGTTCAACCACAGTTCCGTACTTAGCTAAAATGTGATTTAAAAAAATATGTTGAATGTGTTTTTTTTTTCTTTTGGAACCTAAGTACATTAAGGACCTAGGTAGGCTTTTGGGGGGGGTGGATTGGGACACAGCATGCGGAGATGGATTCTGGGAGCTTTACACAGTGGAAATGTTATAAAGAAACAGGTTTGGAGTTTTGTTTTGTTTTGTTTTTACCACTGAGTCATATCTCCCAATCCTTAAAGGGTATATTTTCTAAGGATATTTGTCTAGCATGCATGAATCCCTAGGTTCAATTCTCGGTACCACAAAAAGTGTGTGTGTGTGTGTGTGTGTGTGTGTGTGTGTAAAACAAAATGATCATAATGCATTTTAATCTAGCTGAATCAAGACCATGCAGAGTAAATACATGTTCTGCCTTCCACGTTCCTATCCAGCAGGGACACAAGTGCTCGTCATAGAATAGGTGCTTAGTAATGTATGAGATAACCAAAGGTAATGGTGCGGAATGTTTTAGACAGAGAAAGGCAAACACTATTGCTCCTCAGCCTAAGTTTGAGCCATACAGGAAGATGAACTAAGTGTGGTGGGATTCTGGAACATGCAAGGAAGTTGAAACAGATACTAATGGTAACTGTGTAGTTCTTAAGAAGCTCTTTGTACACTGTGTTCTATATGCTCTCCATTTTAAAGGCATGTATTAGTTCTGACCTGATGCATAAGGTGGTATTTATAACTGAAAGCTCCTCTCGTCCTAACCAACCACTCACAGACACAAACAGTGTTTGTTTTCCAAACACTGTATCTGATGGGAGTCTGCGGGACTCTTTCTGCCTCCATCCCCATTTCTTCTCCTTTGGTCTTTGTAATAGACTTTGAATACAAAAGTTGGACCAACAAGCACATTTTTGGTTTGGTTTGGTTTCTTCCCTGGATGTTGCTTCTTTCTTAGAATTTTAATTTGTTTGAGAAAGAAACCGAAAAATTCTGAAAAGACAAGCAAGGGGAATAAATAGACCATCAAGCTGAACCAGTGTGCCATAGTTTCAGGGATGCTAAAATAGATTGTCAGGGCTTCGAACACCCAGGCAGAAGCAGGATCAGCTAGGGTCCCTGAGCCTCTTCTTTTGAGTGGGGTCAAGGTGGCACATGATATTGGGGAAATTGTCTAGATTAGTGTTCTCAATAGGGACACTACTCTCCCCTGATAGAAATTTGAGACTATCTAGAAACTTTTTTCCCTTTGCTGGTCCCAACTTGGAGGCGGTGTGCTACTGGCCTCTAGTGGCTAGAAAACAGAGATGATGCTAAAACTCTCACAAGACACAAGACTGTGTCCTACATTCAAGAGCCACCCCGTGTCTAACACGAGTGATTACAAGGCTAAAAAGCCCTGGCATTCTCACCAAAAAAGATCAGTAAAAACTTGAGTAAATACATATTAATGTTAATGAACTTTGTTTCATTTTGGCCCTGAAGGCTTAATTAACTTCTCTGGGCCATCTGCATGACAGAAAGCATACAGAAAGTTCTAACCCTTTGAATGCTCCACCCCATACATCTCAAAAGGAACTTGGCAAGTCTACAGAATTAATGAACCCTTGAAAATATTTATCCTGGAGGGCTGGTGAGATGGCTCAGTGGATTAAGGCACTGACTGCCAAGCTTGATGACTTGTATTTGATCCCTGAAACCTACATGGTGGATAAGAACCTGCTCCTCCAAGCTGTCCTCTTGCCCCCACATGCAAGCCATGGCACCTGAAGCCCCCCATCACCCCTGCTCCCACACTCACACTCACATACACACTTGGCAAATAAATGTAATGAGGAAAAAGGGTCTCTTTATGTGGCTCTGGCTGGCCTCAAACTCAGAGATCTGCCTGCCTCTGCAGACAAATGCTAGGATTAAAGGCATGTATTACCACACCCAGTGAAAAAATTCAGTTTATATTTGAATGACTTTAGGCATACATAGAAGTTTAAAAACTGTAAGTTACAAATTTTTCACTCAGATTCCAAAAGCATTGGCATCCTAACAAATTTGTATTCTCTCTATCCTTTTTCATTTTCTTCTTCCCCATATCTATGAGAAACCACAGTTTCATGACACCGTTACCCCAATCTTCAGTGTGTGCATCATGAAAATGATGATATTCCCTTACAAAAGCACTTTGGAATTATCAGTCATGGAATCATTATTGACACAATACTGAGTACAGAATTTATTTAGTTTTATGGGGCCAGAAGGATGGCTCTGTGGGTGAGGCATATGCTCTAAACCTGATGGCCAGAGTTCAATCCCTGGGACCCACATGGTGAAAGGAGAGAACCAATACCTGTACTCCCTGTTACCACTGCGTATGTGTTATGGAATGACAGAGAGAGAGAGAGAGAGACAGACAGACAGACAGACAGACAGAGAGACAGAGACAGAGACAGAGAGACAGAGAGACAGAGAGACTAAATGTTAAAAAATAAAGACAGACAGACAGACAGACAGACAGACACAGAGACAGAGACAGAGAGACTAAATGTTAAAAAATAAAAAGAAGTTACTCAGTTTTACTATGATTACCCTTTATAGTAAAAGAAAAATAAATACTTCCCCTGGCCAATGATGCAATCCGAGGCCACACATTGCATTTATTAGTTGAGTCTTTATTCTTTTTTACATGTTTTTGTGTCTTTACTCTTACTCTAGACTATTTACTTACTATCTCTCTGTCTTCGATTCTTTGATGTTTGTGACAGATGCAGAGTCTCTTCCACTTTAGGTTTTCCAGGATATCCTCCTCATGATTCAGTTCGTGTCTTTTAAATGTGTGTCTTCCTCAGGCCCCATGACAGGAGCACCCAGGACATCCAGTTGTCCTGTCGTTGATCATTTGAACTTTTATCACTTCCTTAAGGTGATATTGCCAGATTCTTCTACTGTTACGTTAATCATTTTATCCCTTGAGGAAAATAATTTAAATACAGAGTCTCACTATGTATAAGTAGAGTAGTCTGGCCTCAAACTCATGGATCTGCCTGCCTCTGCCTCTCAAGTGCTGGGATTAAAGGTGTTCACTACCACATTTGGCAAAATATCATTGCACACACCAGAAGTGGGGTTCAAAACTTGTAACCGATACATATCTTGTTGATAAAGTTTGATAGAATGTAAATATCCTATTTTTCAAACTTTTCATTTTAGTAAATTATTTGGATTCCCATGGTCTTCTTTTGAAGATAGACATGAAGATAATTTTAGAACATTCAAGAGATTTCAATAAATTTTAAAACTGTCCTTCTTGGGGATCCCAAAATCTCTGTCAATTTGCTTATCCTCCCAAATAATTATAACTACAAATAGTAAGCCAACTGAGAACTAAAATTCCCTAGTTCCTAGAAATAACTTGGATAGGTTATCTTTTGATAAGACAGTTAAACACTATGGGAGATTTTAAGGGCCAAAAAAAAAA